TCACGTATTCCCTTGGGACTACAAAACCGGTGAATTCGGAAATCACAATTTCACTGCGACTTTCATTGATTTGTGTGGTAGATTAGGTTTAGCGTACAACATGAAAACCGTGCCCACCGACCTTGTGAAGAAACGTGCCATTAAAAGCGGTGATGGGTCGAAGTAAGTATTTTATTTATAGTTATTTACGAAGGTAGTTTTTTTGTAGTTTGCCCACGATATGTTTATACTTTTTATTCTGTTAGTCGTTTGTAAATACACCAAACTTTACTGTCACATTCCGAAGACTTGATTTCGGCGTTTGTTAAAACCCTCATACACGGTGTCTCATGCGACGAAAAATGAATAAATAACTTTTCCTTAGAATTTTTATCGCTTGTAGGGATATAGTATAGTATAGTAAGTTTAGTTTTTAGCTGCGACTTTATCGTGTGAATTTTCTTTTTTTTATTTCCACAAATCTGTCCTGAAATACAAATGACATTTCAACTTAAATAAATTCCTCCGTTTCTATAGATATGACAATATGAACTGTGTATCTGGAGACGTGGACATAGCGATGGGACAAATCAAGAACGCAAAGATTACACAGGACCGAACAATGAATCGGAATCCATAAATATCACCAGAACATTCAGACATGTAGGATTGGCAGGTTTTTGGAGGGAACAAGTACAGGTGTACTTATTTTTATTTAAATGGACTATAACTGACTAGAATTAAATTAAATTATGTATCTTAATCTATTCTACGCAATACTACCCTGTTCCACGCTGGTCTATTTTGATCCACTGCTCTAGACTCTCAAACTACACTGTTCCACGCTAGTCCACTCTGTCCCGCTCCTCTCTAGTCACGAAACTGCACTCTTCTAACCAGGCCTTAGAATCATCTTAAATACTAATCGCATCAACATTGGACATGATTCTGCAGGCCATTATCGGCCTCCTGCCATCCATCTGAGTTCACGTGACCTGGTCATAACGGTTCGAGTATACCTGCCGTGTATAAAAACTTCTTTAAAAATAAAAAAAGTTTCTGTGTCACAAACATTGCGAAATAGAATTTTGTACGAAAGTCCTCAGAATCTGTCTAGTTATAATAAAGTGTTTCTTTTACTGTTCCGTCCGATGCGAAACAAAACGGCGAAAATCTTCCAAAGTTCGTTTACGACATGGATGTGCCAACAAAATTATTTTCGGTATTAACTTTTTTCAAATTCAGTTTATTTTTCTGTTACAAGTGGCAATTTCACCCTAAATCATGGTAAAATCATTTAGTCACTCCGCGCGTGTCCAGACAATAGTTTTGGAATTTTTACTTCGTTGGTACAGACAACCGACCATATCGTAAACCGGGAATTTTCTAAGGGTCAACTCGAATCTCGTTCTTAACGGTTCTGCCAGACAAGAGTCAGCCTGGAAAAAATTTTCAAGGCATCAGTAAATCTTCGAGGATCCCCCGCACGTGGTCATTGACGCGTCGTCCAAGACGCCACCAATTTCTTGAGTTATGCGCTGGTTGGGTATTTTCGACTTTCCAATCAGCGCACTCGATGCGACCTGAGGGTGTTGTATAAAAACACCTACGAGGTTCAATCGAGTCACTCATACGAGACTCATATTCATACGCTCCTAATAATCACGAGTCCATCGTTCGGGACAACGTGAATTTAAATTTCGGGAACTACAGTCCATCAGTCGGGATTTAACGCAATCGATCTAATTGTCTAATATTAATTTGGCGGATAAGTATCTAGAAGAGTCGCGTACCGAAAGGTTACTTCGGGATTTACGACCCCGAACAGAATTAAAATTCACGCGATAAATCGTGACACAACGAATACACAATTCGTTTCATTTACACTAATAACTCGCCATGTGTCATTCTCCGATAGAGACAAGAACCCAATCATTTACACGGGAACCCTTCCGTGTGTTACGACAGCGTAACATTCAGAAATAAAGAATTTTAAAACACAAAACAAAGCGTTTCAATGGTGAAACGCTTTTTTATAAAATTCTATGTTTTAACTCTAGAATTACCAAGAATCCCTCTCGTAAACATTTGTTCTGTCCAAGATAAATCCATCAGAATAATATTAGACCAATCTGGACATAAAAGCTTTAAAACTTACAGTAAGTGACACAAAAATGGTAAAACACTTTCTTGCAATATTTTTTATCTCAACCTTTGCATCATCAAACATCCCTCTTGCAAACATTGTTTCTATCTAAAAGGGACCCGTATACAAAATTTCAATACAATTAGATTTGTCAGGTTTTAGGAAGTACAGTGCTGACAAGATTCCAGCCGGTAAGTTTCGTCACTACTTTGTTACTGCCGATCCACGAATTGACGTCGACCAAGCGATTGAAACCTCTTGCCACTTTTCTTTTTTGAACCATCGGCCGGCTGTGTTAATGTCAGTAACGTACGTATTTTTGACTTAGGATACCTATAATCAGTAACGTAGTTTGTTTCTATATCAACTTCAAGAAAGTTCATAAATATTCCGCGACCATTCACTGGCGCCATTTTGCTTTAGTGCAGCCATCTAGTGCATTATTTCCCTAAGCTTGGTGAACAACTGCTTTTAGTCTAGTATCAAACATTAACAGTGACAGGACGTATATACAGTGAAAAATACAGTGTAAAATTTTCTCGTTCAATTCGTTTCACAGTTTTTAAAGTTACAAAATACAAGCAGTGATCGTATGATATTATATAAAAGTGTGTAGTTAGATAGTCAAAATTTTTCTATTAAAAAATGTCCGACTACTTCGATGAAATGGGTTGGACACCGTTAGAAGATGGTGAGGCTCCAAATCATTTAATACACATGGCAAGGCTTCTACGAGATTTCGGTATGTGGGATTTGTTGGGTCAAACTACGAGGCTACCACCACCAGCTTCAAAATCTGCAATAGAAAACTTGAAAGAGATTGAAATAAGTTCTGCCGATTCAAAACAGTGTCCTGTATGTTTAAAAGAGTTCGAAGACGGTATATCTGCAAAGTGCATGCCCTGTAAACATGTTTTTCATAAGGAGTGTATAATACCATGGTTAGAAAAGGTATCAATTTTTGCTAGTCATCGTTACCGATTTTATAAACAAATTGTACATCTGATCGATAAAGGAGATTTCACACTTACTTTCAGACGAACTCGTGTCCACTCTGCCGGCATCAGTTACCTACAGACGATGAAGATTACGAATTGTACAGAAAAGAAAAGAAACGCGAGGTAGAAAGGGAAAAGGATTTAGAAACTTTGCATAATTCAATGTTCATGTAGAAAAATACATATTTATATGTCAAAAAGAAGTGTTTTATTTCTCTATATGAATATTTTCACGACATCACATTATGAATGTTTCAGAATGTTTTAAAATATACGGAAATGAATTAATGTACACTTGATTATCACTTTGCTATATTATTTCATATGTTTGTATCGCATAAAGTATGTATCTATCTAACACAATTGTATTCATTGCTTTTTTGTAATAATATGCACAGACGAATACATTTATGGACAAACAGTTAAAATATACTTGATATATAAATTTTGAAACATTGCTTAATTGTTTAAAATGTGATAAGACAAACAAATATCATGTCACTTGCGTGATGCACTTTCATCTGTATCTTTTGTTTATAATAGCATGAAATAACATCTAAAATTCCAGAACACTGTGAATGCGTGTCGCAGACGTTCAGAGTAATAACTTATCGTATAAATTCAACTACTACATATGTATTTGTGAAGGATAAATGAGAAGACTTAGATTTATTAATAGGAAATAATGTTTATTATACAGTGTACATATTTATTAACTTCATTTATTTTATTTCTGTTATAAATTTTATATTAATAATATTATTATGCTTTGCCGAGCGACGAATGCCTTGATCAGTGTGCGCTTAATCTATAACAATCTCCGTAAAAAGTATAGAAACTTCTGCTTTTTATTTTGTTCGTTTGTTTGTTTTCCTTTCATCATTCTCTCCCATCCCCATCCTTTTTCGGTTGATCATTTATCAATCCCCCCATTCCCCCTTACATTGATCACCATTAATTATACCACCAAAGAGTATCGCCAAAATATGTTGCGCTGAAAACGGCATAATCGTTCGGCATATACAAATAATAGTACTGTCGAAGTTAAAGTAATTGGCGGTTCATTCATTTCCTTTGTTTGTTCATATTTTTTTTGCCGGTGACGCCATTTCGCACGAAATGGCGCGCCGCCGCCTTCGCGCCGTTCTGGTCGCGACATTCTCGAACGTTTTTCTTTTCCTCGAAATACTTCACCCTAGGATTAGTATTTGTTATGAATTATTTTT